TTCTGACTTTAAACCATGTGGTATCCCCTTGTTCTGTCCAAGCAACTGCCTCTTGATCTATGTACACATTCCTCATGAACACAATTAAGTGTTCTAGAATTCCCATTCTTCTAAATGTTATCCATAATTTGTTATGATCCACACAGTCGAATGCCTTTGCATAGTCAATAAAACACAGGTAAACATCTTCCTGGTATTCTTTGCTTTCAGCCAGGATCCATCTGACATCAGCTATGATATCCCTGGCTCCACACCCTCTTCTGAATCTGGCTTGAATTTCTGGTTGTTCCCTGTCAATATACTGCTGCAGTCGCTTTTGAATGATCTTCAGCAAAATTTTACTTGCATGTGATATTAATGATATTGTTCAATAATTTCCACATTCGGTTGGATCACCTTTCTTGGGAAAAGGCATAAACATGGATCTCTTCCAGTTGGCCAGGTAGCTGTCTTCCAAATTTCTTGGTATAGACAAGTGAGCACTTCCAGTGCTGCATCCATTTGTTGAAACATCTCAGTTGGTATTCCCTCAACTCCTGGACCCTTGTTTTTTGCCAATGCCTTCAGTGCAGCTTGGACTTCTTCTCTCAGTACCACCGGTTCCTGATCATACGCTACCTCCTGAAATTGATGAACATTGACCAGTTCTTTTTGGTGTAGTGACTTTCTGTGTATTCCTTCCACCTTTAGGGGCCTTAAGAGGGCCTGATTTTACCTTGTTTGCATCAACCTTGTCATGGATTGAATTGTGTCCCCCAAAAATATGTGTATCAATTTGGCTAGGTCATGATTCCCAGTATCTTGTGGTTGTCCTCAATTTTGTGATTGATATAATTTTCCTATGTATTGTAAATCCTAATCTCTGCCTATGGTTAATGAGGCAAGATTAGATTATGTTAAAGAGGATTAGGATGGGATGTAACACCCTTGCTCAGGCCACATCCCTGATCCAATGTAAAGGGAGTTTCCCTGGGGTGTGGCCTACGCCACCTTTTATCTTACAAGAGATGAAAGGAGAGGGATGCAGCAGAAAGTGGGGACCTCATACCACCAAGAAAGAAGCACTGAAAGCGTAACACCTCCTTTGGACCCAATGTCCCTGAGCTGAGAAGCTCTTTGACCAGGGAAGATTGATGAAAAGGACCTTCCTCCAGAGCCAACAGAAAGAGAGAAAGCCTCCCCCTGGCACGGATGCCCTGAATTTGGACTTAGAGCCTACTAGACTGAGAGAATAAATTTCTCTTTGTTAAAGCCATCAACTTGTGGTTTTTCTGTTATAGCAGCACAAGGTAACTAAGGAAAGCTTCTTTCCATGACCCGTCTTGGTCTTTGTCATTAGCTGGGTCAGTTTTCCCCATCCTCTAGGTTTTTTCCCCTAATCAGCCTGGATCTTAAGGTCAATAATCTTAGCAACACTTTTACCTACATTATCAATTCTCTTGGCTCATCATTGTTCTGCTTCTCCGGGCCAGTTTATCCTCCATTTTAGATTTATCCAGTGATCTGCTTTCTACTCTTAGGCAGATAAGTACTATAAAACAGTGAGGAATTATGCTGATTAACTTTAATATCGGTGGTTTTCAGCTTCAAGTAGCACTTTAGCACTGCTAGGCAATCCTGTAAGAAGCCCTGGTGGTAGGTGCAATGGTTAAGAGCTTAGCTGCTGAGGGGTTGGAGGTTCAAACCCACCAGCCGCTCTGCAGGAATAAAGACCTGGCAATATGCTTTCATAAACATTAAACAACACTTTTGGAAGTGATAGATATGTTCATTACCTTGATTGTGGTGATGGTCTCGTGGGTATATACAAACTTGTTTTAGTTATCTAGTGCTGCCATTAAAGAACAGAAATCTACTTTTTCACAGTTCTGGAGGCTAGAAGTCCAAATCAGTGTTTCAGCCTATGAATTTCTTCTGTGAGCCTCTCCTCGTTTCTGGTGTCTGCTGGTGATACTTGGCATTCCTTTGCTGGCACAGTGGTTAAGAGTTATGGCTGCTAACTAAAAGGTCAGCAGTTTGAATCTACCAGGCGCTCCTTGGAAACCCTATGGGGAAGTTCTACTCTGTCCTATAGGGTCGCTATGAGTCGGAATCAACTTGATGGCAATGGGTTTCTTTGGTCGGGTTGCTTGCAGATAATCCTCACTTGTTGCCTCTGTGTGTGTGTGTGTGTGTGTGTGTGTGATCTCTCTGAATCCTCATCAGAATCACCCTTAAAGTCCATAATTCTACCAACAGCCTCTTCAAGGTAATCTAGACTCTTACCATCAAGACGATCAAAACTCTTCCAGCCTCTACCCATTACCCAATTGCAACACCACTTCTACATTTTAGGTATTTGTTGAGGAGCATCCCACTTCTGTCCTAGTTACCTAGTGCTGCCATAACACAAATACCACAAGTGGGCGGCTTTAAAGAACAGGAATTTTATTTTCTCACAGTTCAGGAGGCTAGAAATCCAAATTCAAGGCATGGCTCCACGGGAAGGTCCTTCCTTGTCTCAGCTACTAGTAGCTGTAGCAAACCTTGTAGATGCATCTGTCTGTCATTTGTTTTCCTCTTTTTTCTGTGTGTCTCTGTCTATTCTAGTCTTATAACTAGACATGATTAGATTTAGAACCCTCCCTACTTGAGGATGACCTCATCAACATAACAAAACCCAAAACCAAACTCGGTGCTGTCAATTCCAACTCATATGACTGTCCCATGGGGCTTCCAAGGATAAACTGTGGATTCGAACTGCCAACCTTTTGGTTAGCAGCCGAACACTTAACCACGGCGCCAGCAGGGCTCCGAACATAACAAAGGAAACCCTATTTCCAATAGGACTTCATCCACAAGTATAGGGCTTAGGATTCCAATGCACATTTTGGGGGGGCATAATCTAATCCATCACAAAATGCATCAAATTATACATTTTAAATGTGTATAAATTATATTCAATAGTTAGGAGGCAAGGGCATGTCAAAACAGTTTCCTGACAGAAGCAAAATGATGCACTGTATTTGTAAATGTTCCTTTCCAAATGATAAATTTTGTGTATTCTTTTTGTTGTTGAGAATATTCACAGCAAAAAATATGGTTTCTACATTTCAGTGACACTGATTTTTATGTGTATTCTGAAATGGCTTTTTCATTGTTAATATTCTTTTGAATAGGACTAAAATCAAGTAAGAATACTAAAATAAAGTTCCCTATAGGGTTGCTATGTGTTGACTCAGTGGCAGCAGGTTTGGTTTAATAGGTTGTATTGTACTTTGCTCAGTTTAGGATTCTGTGAGATTAAATCCTTATTTTCTGTTATAATTCTGATTAACTCAGCCACATGGCATGCTGGGACCTCAGAAGTGGACCAGGGGTGAGGGGAAGAGGCCAGGATTCCTGGGATAGACCAAGGAGCCTGGTCGTTATACTGACTGGAAAGGTACCCTACTCCTCTGCTCTAAGATGGCCAAAATATTTCCAAAATTTCATGGCAAATTTGGGTTTGATATGTCTGTACATATCCAATTAAGTCAGATCAGTTGAGCGATGTGAGAGGAGCCTCCAGGCAGCAGCACTATTCAGTCAGGCAGTTATAAGCACCATGTTGTAAATACTATTTGGATTAGGAACCAAGCTATTTGGAGGAAAGATGGGAAAGAGGGTCCCATTCTCAGTGTGAGAAGTGACTGGCAAGAAATACACTATCCTAGCAAGCTATGTGGAAACCCTGGTGGTGTAGTGGTTAAGTGCTACAGCAGCTAACCAAAACATCGGCAGTTTGAATCCACCAAGTGCTCCTTGGAAGCTCAGAGTCAGAATCTGCTCAATGGCAATGGGTTTGGTAGCAGGCTATGGAGCCCTGGTAGCACAGTGGTTAAGAGCTTGGCTGTTAACCAAAGTGTCAGCATTGTGAACCTACCATCCACTACTTGGCAACCCTACAGTGCACTTGTACTGTGTATAGGGTCAGACTTGTTGGCTCAAATTTTAAAACTTTTGCCTGCTAACTCAAGTATGGCACACAAGTATGCTGTGATTTGAATAAAGGCTTGAATCCTAAGTGGGGAACTGGTGTACCTATTGCCATCAACTTGATGCCAACTCATAGTAACCCAGTGTACAAGAGAACACTGCCTGGTACTGCGCCATTCTCTTGTCTTCGCTTTGAGCCCAGTTTCAGCTACTGTGTCAACCCATCTCCTTGAGAGTCTACCTTTTTTGCTGACCCTCTACCAAGCATGATGTCAGTCTCCAGGGACTAGCCCCCCTACCATCATATGTCCAAAATATGTGTTGCCCTTTAAGCACAGTAATCTGTCCTGTAGTTTGAAGGTTGTAACCTTTATGGAAATAGACTGCCCCATTTTCCAGGAGGTTCCAACTGCTGGTCTGTTAGCACTCAGGCACCTATCCACTGCACCAACTGGTGTTACCAGGAAAACAACCAATAGCTTTCACACAGGCTGGTGAAACAGGAATGATTAAAAGAGGTGCCATTAGCTCAGGAGCCTGGTCCTTCATACTGTAGATTTCCTTAGGTAGCTTAGCACAGTGCAATGCTTAAATGCAGTTTTAAGGGTAAAGGCAGTTTTTCTTCTAAGTTTTGGGTGGGGCCCCAACAATTCTCTATTTCTGGGATTTACTCATGAATGAAACAGATCTTGGCCTTTTATATTCTAGCATGCTGACAAAAAACAATGATTTATAGATCATGCTAGAAAAGTTAAAATTACTTGAAAAAGGAGTAAGATTTCCTCATGGGGTAGCAGTGTTTAAGGATGCAGGTTGCAATGCCATGTATTTGCATGAGTATCTCGGTTATTTACTTGCTGAAGGACCCTTAACTATGCCTCCACCCATTCTGTTTTGGTAATACGAAGACACACAATATACCCATTTCTGACCTTAAGCATCTCCTCTTTCTAAATTACATTTACAGAACTAAATCCAGAAATACTTTGTTCCAAATCCAACTAGTTCCATCATCCTCCTCTTATAATCAATTGACAAATCTCTACAAATTTCAACATAAGCTTTACTCACAATTATGCAATTCAAACAGGTGAGCACAGATGAACATTCATTCAGAATTTTAAGGTTGCTTAACTGAAAACAAAGAATTTTTAAACACTGCGCATTCTACTTCTCACCTTTATGTATAACTTAAGAAACAGTTCTGACAAACAACATACTTGTTAATAGTTTGTGACCCTCTAGGGTAGTGGCTTGAATCTTGTGAATACTTAAATCTAGACTCAGTGTTGGTTCATGATCCAAATTCACAAAATTTGATGTTACTCTAAAACACTTTCTCTTGATACAACCAGACTCCATGTTTCCTTTCCATGTCTGTAAAATGAAAAGTTCCTTTTTCTGGGCTTTTCACCACCAGCACTTCACACCAGACAAATAATCCTCTTGGTACTAGGTCCTAGAAAAGGAAAAACATTTGAGATTTACCGCAATTATCAACATTACAACAGCTCATTTAAAATAAATTTTATGTACTGTTCTTGCAAAGACCCATCTCAGAAGCCAGATCCGTGTTGTTTTTTCAACAGAAATTCAGGTTCGGGATAGGATCATCATAGATGAGACCAAGGATACATAACTGACCAATTCTTACTAATCAAGAAACCTGTACTCACAGGAAGTTACTTAGGAAGGAATGTCACAACAAACTGGCCTTCCTTCAATGAGCAGACAGCAACCATTCACTGTTGGCAGAAAGAGAAAAAAAAATTCTAGTAGTTTTTTTTTGTACAAGATGGTTTATAAAATAACAGAACCCTTCCAACTATAAAATGCAAACAAAAATTTCTGCATATTGGCCTCATCTCAGAAGCCGAATCCGTATATACTTTTCTTCAGGTAATCAGCTTCGGGATAGATTTCATCATTGATTAGACCAATCATGCTTACTTATCACACTAAACTATACTTCAGTGATATTTGCCATAAACCAAAGCAGCCTGTAAGGTGAAAGCGTTGAAAAATTTGGAAAGCACACAAGTTACTCAAAGATGAAGCTGCCATTATCAACTCCCAGGATACTTCCAAAACGACAAAAATTTCATTTAATCGACATATGGATTAAGCATACATTATACCTAATTATAAATTATTACTAGTTGTACACATACCTGCTAAGATTGTCAGGTTTTAAACAAGGAATTTTCCAGTAAATACTCTTTCAGATGTCTTGGAATTTTTCTTTGTATCTATAAATGGAAGCAAATGTCAAAACATGAATCATTTCCTATTTCTGTAAATCAACAAGTTTCCTCCCTTTGTTTAAAAGGCTACCAAGAGCCCGGGAAACCTTACCTTGACATCTCCACACAGCAGATTCGATATACCAGTAGACACTGTCCTTGTTCTGCGGGGGCGCGGGGAGCTCGGTATCTAAGATTAAGCATACTCATACAATGTCACACCTCGATTTCCAGTGTTAAAATGTTCCCCCCATTAGTCCTAATTACACATAAGGCTACCAGGGGCACAATACGAATAGCTCATACAGGGACAAAATCGCCTATTTTTAAATAACCGTTTTATTTGCCAAGGGAGAAATGGCATTCGCCACACAATAAAACCGGTCAGGCGCTGGACTACTAGACAAGAGATTGGCGGTTCAAACATGAAGAGACCTGTCGATCTACTTCGGAAAGTCAGTCTTGAAAACCCTATGTAGTTCTACACACCTTGGGTCGCCATGAGTCGAAATAGACTTGCCAGCAAACAGTCTGGAAATTTGGACGTAGTTCTGTGCCGCTCAGAGTCAGTCCAGCCTGCAGTAGGAATCCAGTTTCCAGGCCGCGTTTGGCAGATTAGGGGCCTCCTCACGCCTAAGCGTGCAGCCACCACAACTCAATCTTAGCACACGTGGCGGCGGTCCGGCTGCGCTTTTCCCACCAAAAAGATTTCGACATACAGTACTCCACGTTCATATCTCTAAAACGCCTCACAGTACTGCAGCCTCAGCCTCCTCCCTCACTCAGCAACTCGACCGCGACAACCACTCACCAGCCACACAACCACAATCTTCAGAATCCCGACGTAAAAGACCGGGCTTCGCCCCCAGCAGTCCCTTATATAGCCTTCTCCGAAAGTCAGAACGAGGCTGCCCCTCCCTCTCGCTTCTATTGGCCGCGGAGGAAGACGGGGGCGGGACCGTTTCCAGAGGCAAGCATGCGGGAGCGCGCGCGGCGGCTCTTTTTCTCGGAGACCCGGCCGCGCGCAGGCGTGCCGGAGCATGGTGTACGCGCTGTCCCCCCGCCCCTTCTCCGGCACGCTGAAGCCTGTAGCTTCCGAGTCTGGCGAGTGACTCGTCCCTACGTGGCGCGGGAGTGGCGCTAGAATTCAAACAGCAGTAGTTGGAGGCGATGCTGCCGCCAGCGCCAAGCCAAGTCCTTCCAGGACTGATTGGGCGGCCCAGGAGTTTTGCAGTGCAGGGCGGCCTTATTTATGATCGACTAGAGAAGCCGAGCTGGCTGGCTGTCGCCGGTGGATGTTGACGCCCAGCGGACGCCGCCGAAGGAACGGGAGAGAGCTGGAAAGAGAAATTGGCGGGCACAAACGCTCTGGTAAAATTTGTGTGAAGGCGCCGTTATTTATCCTCCGGTCAGCAGCGAAAATACTTCACCTTTCCGGAAGGCAGCCCCGCCGCGCGGCATGCGTCCCAAGCCAACCCCCGGGCGGGCAGCAAGGTTCAATTGGGGCACACCCTGCTCGCGTTTTTTGACGCTTTGTTGTGCCAGGCACAGTTCTAAGCACTCCATAATCATCCCATATAATTCTCACTGAGACAACAAACCTGACAGGTAAATATTTCGTTTGGCAGAGGAGAAAACTGAGGGCTAAAACAGTTAAATGATTGGCCTAAAGTCACATAACTGGAAAGCTTTGTTATTTTTGATTTGTTTGTAATAAATTAGTTATAGTTAGTACGCAAGAAAAATTAATTTGAAAAGTATCCGAGAATACTGTATCCTAACGAGAAACTTATATTCAAAAGCAACTATTAATTGGTATATGGGAGTGAATATGCATACACACACACACACACACACACACACACACACACGACTTGTCAACATTTCAGCATTTGAAAATTCAAGTCTCGGCTTCATAGCGCTTGTTCCTAATTAAAATTATTTAATTAATATTAATTACTAGTTAGAATTACTAATGTATTTCTGTTTTTTGCTGTCTTCCCTGCTAGAGCGTGTGTGGGAACACAACTGATGTTCTGCACCACTTTTTCTCCTTGGCTTAGAACAGTAGGTGCCCTCGAGTGGGTTCCGACTCATAGAGACCCTATGTATAACCGAACTAAATGTTGCCCAGTCTATTGCCATCCTGTACCAAACATGATGTCCTTCTCCAGGGACTGGTCCCTTCTAATAATATGTCCAAAGTAAGTGAGAAAAAGTCTGGACATCTTCACTTCTAAGGAGCATTCTGGCTGTACTTCCAAGAACAGTGCCTGCATGAAACAGGTTGTACTGAATGGATGAACATATGTGGTGGCCTTTTAGAGAATTACAATGAAGTCCAAACGTCAGATTTAAAGGAATAGTGAAAAGCAAGTTTCTGTAACAGGAACCAATGCCATAAAAAGTATTTACTTGGCTGGACATTATGTAGATATTTTATATTGCTTTGTAATGTACAATGTAAATTTGTGTGTTGCTCAGAGTAAGAAAAGAAAAACAGTGCAAAAGGACATAAAAAGAAAAGTATAAGTTCTTTTCCACATCCCTGGGAATCTTCTTCCCAATTCTACTCTCCAGTAGTAACCACTATTAACAGTTTTTGAAATTTTTATGTATGTACAAATATATGTAGTTATTTTTTCACATATAAATAGGATCTACATACTCTTCTGTAACTTTTCTTTTTCCCTTGTAAATATTATAGACATCTTTCTCCTGCGGAGTGTCTGGTGGGTTTGAACTACCGATCTTTCAGTTAGCAGCTGAGTGCTTAACCACGGAGCCACCAGGGCTCCTTATTAGTACATGTAGATGACTTTATTCTTTTTTTTACAAAAGGAGCCTTGGTAGTGCAATGGTTAACTGAAAAGTTGGCAGTTCAAACCCATCCAGCAGCTCCGAGGGAGAAAGACCTGACGATCTGCTTCAGTAAACATTACAGCCAAGAAAACCCAATGAGGCAGTTCTGCTCTGTCACATGGGGTCTCTATGAGTTAGAATTGACTCCGTGGCATACAACAACGTTCTTTTTTACAGTATGCATAGTATTTGGTTGGATGTATCATAATTTATTTAATCAGTTATTTCCAAATTTTCACTGTTTCAAACAGAACAGTGCTAAAGTGAATTGTAGATATATCATAGTGTGATGGTGTGAATATATCTGCAAGATACATTCTAGAAGTGGGTCAAAGGTCATGTGCACTTAAATTTGTGTAGAGATTTGCTTAATTGTTTCCCTCCTTCCCTCGACTCCCACAAAAAGATTGTATGTTGTGCTATTTTGAAGTACATTTTGATAACTGAAAAACATGTTGTTGTTAGGTGCTGTCGAGTTGGTTCCGACTCATAGCGACCCTATGTACGACAGAATGAAACACTGCCCAGTCCTGTGTCATCCTCACAATTGCTGTTATGCTTGAGCCCCTCCTTGCAGCCACTGTGCCAATCCATCTCATTAAGGGTCTTCCTCTTTGACTGACCCTCTACCAAGCATGATATCCTTCTCCAGGGTCTGATCCCTCCTGATAACGTGTCCAAAGTACCTAAGATGAAGTTTTGCCATCTTTACGTCTAAGAAGCATTCTAGCTGTACTTCTTCCAAGACAGATTTGTTCATTCTTCTGGCAGTCCATGGTATATTCAATATTCTTTGCCAACACCGTAATTCAAAGGCATTGATTCTTCTTCAGTCTTCCGTATTCATTGTCCAGCTTTCACATGCATATGAGGCGATTAAAAATACCATGGCTTGAGTCAGGCGCACCTTAGTCCTCAAAGTGATATCTTTGCTTTTCAACACTTTAGAAGAAGACTTTTGCAGCATATTTGCCCAGTGCGATACATTGTGTGATTTCTTGACTGCTGCTTCCATGGGCATTGATTGTGGATCCAAGTAAAATGAAGTTCTTGACAACTTCAGTTTTTTCTCTGTTTATCATGATTTTGCTTATTGGTCCAGTTGTGAAGATTTATGTTTTCTTTATGTTGAGGTGCAATACATACTGGAGGCTGTAGTCTTTGATTTTCATCAGTAAGAGCTTCAAGCTTTCTTCAGTTTCAGCAAGCAGGGTTGTGTCATCTGCGTATTGCAGGTTGTTGAGTCTTACTCCAATCCTGATGCCACATTCTTCTTCATATAGTCCAGCTTCTCGGATTGTTTGCTCAGGATTCAGACTGAATAAGTATGGTGAAATGATAAAACCCCTACGCATACTTTTCCTGACTTTAAACCATGCAGTATCCCCTTGTTCTGTTCCGATGACTGCCTCTTGGTCTATGTACAGGTTCCGCATGACCACAATTAAATGTTCTGGGATTTCCATTCTTTGCAGTGTTATCCATTATTTGTTGTGATCCACACAGTCAAATGCCTTTGCATAATCAATAAAACACAGGTAAACATCTTTCTGGTATTCTCTGCTTTCAGCCAGGATCCATCTGACATCAGCAGTGATATCCCTCATTCCATGTCCTCTTCTGAATCCGGGTTGAATTTCTGGCAATTCCCTGTGGATGTACTGCTGAAACCGTTTTTTAATTATCTTCAGCAAAATTTTACTTATGTGTGATATTAATGATACTATTTGATAATTTCTGCATTCTGTTGGATCACCTTTCTTTGTTGTGGGCACAAATATGGATCTCTTCCAGTCAGTTGGTGAGGTAGCTCTCCTCCAGATTTCTTGGCATAGAGGAGTGAGCACTTCCAGTGCTGCATCCATTTGTTGAAACTTCTCAGTTGGTATTTCATCAATTCTTTTTGGTACAGTGACTGTGTATTCCTTCCATCTTCTTTTGATGCTTCCTCTCTTGTTCAATATTTTCCCTGTAGAAAAACATAGGTATTATTATTATGGGATGACAATTATTACATTATTGAAATTGAGAACTATTACTCTCATCGTTGAATCAGTGTTTGCTGTGCTGAAGACTGTCAAAATCACCTGGTCAAAAGGTATATAAAGCAATGATTCCCAGCCTGATTTATCAATTGAATTACCTAGAAAGCTAAAACAAATTTCTGGGCCTCAGTCTGGAACTACTAAAACAGAATCTTCAAAAGTGGGACCCAGGAATCAACATTTTAAATAAGTATCTGGGGTAATGTTGTCCAGTAGTGTCCAGGCATGGACCATTTACTTGAAATTAAGAGAGGCCTGTACCCTGATCCGTGGACTTGGGATGTTTTAGCCTCTACAATTGCATGAGCTCTTTCTTTGATATAAATCTCTCTCTATATATATTTATATACTTTACTGGTTTTGCTTCTCTAGAAAACCCAGCCTAAGACATTTGGTACTGAGAGTGGGGTGCTGCTCTAACAGATACCTCAAATGTGGAAGCGGTTTTGAAACTGTGAATGGATAGAGCAGTGGCAGCAGCAAAGGACCAGCAGCAGCAGAGAACCTGCAGCAGCAGAACCAGGGGACCAGTGCAAGATGGCACTGGAGCCGACCCACGGAATGAGGGAGCTGAGTGCCTGTGCGCAGGAGGCTTCCTGACAGAGTGGGGTGCCTCTGGGCACTTACCGGTGGAGCTACAGAGCTTTGGAATACTTACCCCAGCAGGGCAGATGCGGGCGTGAGGCCCGAGGAGCCGAGAGGCTAAGAAACCAGGAAACAGAAGCAGAAGCTGAAGAGACAAGGGACACAAGAAGCCGAGATACCTGGGTCTCAGGAGGTATGGCCATGACCTCAGGGGTTTCAAAGGGTGGAGCCATGGCCTCTGGTGCTTCTAAGGGTAGAGTCGCCACTCAGATGGTCTGGGAGAATGGTGCGCCTAAAGCCAAGGGAGCAGAGTTGCTGTCCCAGTAGGCTTGGAAGACAGAGCTGAAGCCCAGGCCAAGGGGCCTCCGCTCAGAATCTGGAGAGTGTG